ACAAGTTCACGGACCTTTTGCAAGGTTCTTACAGGAGAATGGTATAGTCGCCCAATATTCAACACCAAGGCGAACCTCGGTGAGAATGGAGTAGTGAAAGGCGTAACCATACCCTAATGGATATGGTGCGTAGTATGATAAGTTACTCCACTTTATCGACGAGTTCGTGGATGGAGGCGTTAAAACCGCCATTCATATTCTCAATAGAGTACCAAGTAAGTCGGTGCCCAAAACACCGTATGAGTTGTGGACATGGGAAGAGTACCTCACTTAACCACTTGCGTGTGGGGGAGCCCTCTTTGAGGCTAAAGTTTTAACCCAAACATTGGGAAGCTAGATCCCAAAAGCAGGTGAGTTGCCATTTCATTGGCTACCCGAGAAAAGTCAAAAAGGTTTTCGTTTCTACTCCCTAACAGACATACAAAGTTTGTGGAAACGAGACACGCTGTCTTCCTAGAGGATGAAATGATTAGGGAGAGCATGGTAGCTCGAGAAATTGACCTTGAAGAGAAGCGGGTGTATGCACCCACTCCAATAATTCATGAGCCATTTTTCTCACTACCTGCTGTTGCTGCACCGATAGTACAAGACACTGTGGTGCCAGCACCTGTTGTTATCTCGCCTGTGGCAACAATGAATGATGATGAGGAATCTATTCCTCAAGATCCTATAGAAACTATTGCCACACATGAGGGGGAGCAACAACAGCCTCAAACAGAAAATGTACCAAATGAGGAGGCCCCTAGAAGGTCTTAAAGAGTTAGAAAATCAGCTATTCCTGCTGATTATAAAGTGTACAGCACTGAAGAATTTCAAATGGAGGATGATCCCACCTCATTTGAAGAAGCCATGAAAAGTGATCATTCATCAAAGTGGCTTGAGGCCATGGAAGATGAGATGAGATCAATGAATGCAAATAAAGTTTGGGATTTGGAGATAATTCCTAAATGAGCCAAAACAGTAGGCTGTAAATGGGTCTACAAAACAAAACTTGACTCTCAAGGGAATATAGAGAGATATAAAGCCCGACTTGTGGCAAAAGGCTTTACACAAAGAGAAGTGATTGATTACAATGAGACCTTTTCTCTAGTCTCATGTAAGGATTCCTTCAGAATCATAATGGCATTAGTGGCACATTACGATTTAGAATTATATCAGATGGATGTAAAGACGGTATTTCTCAACGGAGACTTAGAAGAAAATATTTACATGGCACAACCGTAAGATTTTGTTATGGAAGAAAAAGAACGTTTAGGATGCCGCCTAAAGAAATCCATTTATGGATTAAAACAAGCTTCAAGACAGTGGTACTTGAAGTTTGATCAGACAATAAAGAATTTTGGGTTTAAAGATAATGTTGAGGACAATTGTGTCACATAAAGTTTAAGAATGAGAAGTTTATCTTCCTTGTCCTGTATGTGGATGATATCTTACTTGCTAGTAGTGATGTCGGTCTACTCTACGGAAACAAAGAAGTTTTTGTCCTCAAAATTTGATATGAAAGATCTTGGTGAAGCTTCGTTCGTTCTAGGGATCGAGATTCACCGAGATAGAAGTAAAGGGTATTAGGACTGTCACAAAAGGCATACATAAAAAAGTCTTAAAGAAATTCGGTATGCACAAATGTAGTCCCTCACCTGCTCCTATAGTCAAGGGATGACGAGATATGGGGATTTTCAATGCCCTAGGAACCAATATGAGATCGATCAAATGAAAGTGGTTCCATATGCTTCAAATTGTCGGAAGCTTGCAATATGCTCAAGTGTGTACGGCATACCGACTTGGCATTTGTTACCGGGTTACTTGGCGATTCCGAGCAATCTCGAATAGAACCTTTGGAAATTGGTAAAGAAAGTCTTACGTTATTTGCAAGGAACGAAAGGCCTCATGATGACTTATAGAAGATCCGATTCACTCCATATAGTGGGATATTGATTACGATTATGCGAGATAATAGAAAATCCACGTCTAGATATGTGTTCACTCTCGCAGGGGGAGCTATTTCATGGAAAAGCTCAAAGCAAACCGTCACTACATCGCCCACAATGTATGCCGAGTTTGTGGCGTGTTATGAGGCAGCAGGGCGGTGAAGCGGCTAAAGAAGTTCATACCGGTTTAAAGGTGGTTGACGACATCAATAGACCATGAAGTTATACTGCGATAATAATCCAGCAGTACAGTATGCTCACAACAATAGGTCAAGTGGTGCTGCCAAACACATTGACATAAAGTATTATGTTGTGAAGGATAAAGTCTAGGATCAAATGATAAGTCATGAGCATATAAGTACCGAAAAGATGCTCGCGGATCCGCTTACAAAAGGCTTACCACCCAACGTGTTCAGAGAACATGTAGCCGGCATGGGTTTAAGGGAAAGCCTATTATTCCTGGACTATAAAGGGCCCAAAAGTTAAAGTAACTATTTCAGATCAGAGACGTGTATTGTAGCTGTTAAATCTATCGGCGATTGACCGTGACAATGAGACATGCTCTATGCATCATCTGTGAAGAAATGAGTAAGGATAAAAGGATTGAAGTTTAAAGTTTAAAGATAAAAGTAATAGTGAGATCAAGGGGGAGAATGTTAGATTGATCTCCTAACCAATAAACCCAACGGCCTATTGGGCCTTGGTCACGCGCCCTGATCGGGGGCGCCCAACCCTACATGGTTGGTGGGTCCTCGTCGCACTGCGCTATATAAAGAGGTGGGGGGCCGACGGCTCAAAGCACGAGGTTCGCCGTGAGCCGCAGACCCCACCGACAAACCCTAAACCGATCTAAGAGAGGGCTTGCCAATGACACGGAAGCTCAGCTCGGACTCTCGCCGTCATCAACATTTACGCCGCTTCGTCACCTTTGCATCGACGTCTGTGCAACCTCTACTCCACCCGTCATTTGCCCGTGTCTTTGCCTTCATCAACGAACCAGCGATGGCCAGCTCAACCGCGACTTCCTCCGAAGGCTCAGGTTCAACCCAGCACCTCTACCATATCTCCCTCTCGGTGTAGTGTTCTAGATCTAGATATGCATGTGCTTTACGGATCTAAGTGTTCATCCGCCTAGATCTACCCTAGTCGATCTACATAACCATAACAGAATCTTGCCGTATTTTTATACTCTATGACATGTGAAGCTCAAAATATTTTCTATCGGGCTTGCTATATTTTTATGTGCCTGAAATATTGCTTCTTTTCAGGCAACAGTTATCAGCCCTTAGATTCACATCCAACCCAACGATGACAATCTCTGTGCAGAGACCGCGTGCACGCATACGGCATACGTGCCGCAGCTCTGGCAGGAGCAGAAACTACCCAGGCCCCGCCCTATCCCTATCCCTCGGTATCCTTGTGCACAGACCACAGAACGTCGCATGAATACGACACAAAAAAAAAACAGGCGACCGACGAATAGGAATTGTGAAGTTTAACCCGGCAACCAAACACTCACCAAACTTTTTAAAAAACTTATCTAGTATCTACGTATTGGCTGCTCGTGGCTAGCTTGTGATATCTCTGGCCATCTGTTGAAGCTAGAATCGGCTGTCTACCGCTCTCTTGAAATTGAACTGGTAAACAGCCATTTCCAGAGGTTTAAAAATGCTCTTTAAAAATTACTTGCATTCCGATGGTTTAAAGAACCTGGAAGCATCCAACAAACAGGGCTAGGAATAGACGAGGCCGGTGCGTCCGTACGCCCTACATAAACTGCTATGGTCTCTGGATGCCGTTTGCCGCAGTCGAGGTGGGAAAAGCCGTGCGCCGTTGCGTGCCTGCGTGCGTGACCACGTACGGAGGCCGGCGGCTGGCGGGCACAGAAGCCTTAGCGGCGAAGGCTTCCCCTGTTCGTGCAGGGCGCAGGCAGCCAGTGGGTGGCGGTGTGGCACTGGCACCAAACGTTGGGCTTGTGCACGCCAGCCAGCGCCTGCAGGTTGGAAACCACCACTACCTCTGCGTGCTACCTTTATTTTGTTACCCACCAGATCAAAGGGCCGGGCAGTGAAAAGAGTAGTAATCGGTCTCGGTAGTGAGTGATTCATCAGTTCACCTGCAGTTGCAGCCGGCCTCCGTCCAGAGAAGGGATGGCTTCATCTATATGTTTATATACCTATATATATATTTTCAGCTCTGCCCGTGCAAGGAATTACCATGCATCATGCATGTAAAGTAGCAACGTGACGACAAAGCTCTGCGATTGCATTTTGCATCAGATCGAACATGTGACACGATACAAATATTTTTTTTTAGTTTCAAAGGGACCTAATATAATCAATATATAATGAATGTTTCCCCGTAATTGCCAAGAAGAAACCAAACAAGCAAGAACACCGAAAAAAGGAAACTCTGTGGAGCGCTTTTGCTTGCCAACTGTTGCGCACGAGCTGGGACTGGGAGGGGGCGCCCGCCGGCCGCGCATCATCAGGGCAGGGCGACCCCATGCATATATAACTGGGGTTTTGGCTATAGCGTAGCCCGTAGCTGGACCATGCATGATGCCACCCAGGCAGGCTCCGTGTATTTTCTGAGAACGCAACGCGCGCACACAGACACGACGGCATCCATCGACTTTTACTCCCTCCCCGTGCTACCTTTGCATGCATGCCCACCACCTTTAGTCACTTACACGGCCGCTTTCGCCAACCTTTATTTGTTACGCCTGGCATTATATTTTCCTCTGTTTGCGCGCCCCCATTCCTTAGCCGTGTCATGCATGTTAAACCGGTTGCTTTTGGTTCCAGTGTAACCTTGAAGCTTCTGGTAGCACATGCAATGAGCCCACTTGCTGACCTCCTCCTGACCTCCTGGCCCCTGCCCCTCCCGGCCGGCCGACCTCTATATATATCCTTGGCGACCCACGGGCCAAACTCCATGTCCAACCATCCAACAACACACACCTAGTCCTAGCTACTACTGTGATTAGTACCGTCACATACATACATACACCATCCACAAGAATCTTTCCTCCAGGATCCAGCTGCAGTTGCAAGCAAGCCAACAAACAAGATGAAGAGCAAGGCGTCGACGTTCTTGAAGCTGAAGCAGATGGTTTCGGCCATCGTGGCGGCGGTCAAGTCCAAGTCCACGGCGGTGCGCGTCAAGACGAGCGCGCTCAAGACGCGCCTCCTCATCTTCGGGATCCTCCGCAACAAGAAGCTGCTCATGACGGCCATCAACCACAAGATCCACGCCATCATGGGGCAGCAGGAAGCAGCGGGAGACGGCGGCAACAACAAGGACGGCGGCGCCCAGGAGCGGGGCGCGGCCGGCGACAATGACGAAGACGGCGGCGGCGGCAGGAGGGCCATCGTGCTCTACCAGCCCCCCGCCAGCTACAGCTTCTCTTCGGAGCTCGGTGCCCACGAGGCGGAGGCGGAGGTGCAGGAGGAGCAGGACAGCGACGACTACCTGACCCACTCGCTGTTCGCCGAGGAGGACGACGACGAGGAGGACGAGCTGGTGAACGCGCCGGGGTCGGTCATCGACGTCATGCGCGACGCCAGGGAGCGCGAGGCCGGCGAGGGCGCCGAGTTCAGCCTCGAGGACGAGATCGACCACGTCGCCGACGTCTTCATCCGCCGCATCCACCGCCAGCTCAAGCTGCAGAAGCTCGACTCGTTCAAGCGACTGTGCGAGATGCTCGAGAGGAGCACCTGACGAACGATGATCGCTTGATTGGCATCATCCATCTGTTCCGTACGTGCTGCCAATGAATTAGTAACCAGCTCTATGAATAACTTGGAGATCGATCGAAAAATTGCATGCATGTAAGTAGAAGGAATAAAGGTGTCATGGAGAGGAATTCTTGATGCAGAGTTTAAGTACTCCCCTGTGTTGAAAAATAAAGTCGTTTTGAGAGCGATACGGTCTCCAAAGTATAACTTTGACTACTTATTTTTATAAAGATATTTATTAAAAAGTGATACATGTAAATTTTTGTGAAAGTATTTTTCAAGACAAATCTATACATATGGTTTTCACATTTTTAAACTCAACAATTTAAAAGTTATTCATGATTTATATTTTTAATGTTTGACCTAAACCTTATCCAAAACGACTTTATTTTTTTTTAAGTATGCACGGAGTAGAAGGGATGATGGAAATTGTACTTTGACTAATTAATCATCATGTTCTTTTGTTCTTTGGGCGGCATTCATGTGCTTAACCTTCCAAAAACTCAATAAAGTGGTAAAAGAAACCAAGTATGTGGACTGGACACCAGATTTATTAAGACTCATCGTCTGCGTGTCTTGTCACAGCTCACATATGGATTTCTTTCGAAAAGGTCAGCTAAATATCTACGCTTTTCAGGGAACGAACATTCTTATTATAGCATAACAAAAATGAATTTCAATTTTTTTTTCTTCTTTATGAAAAGAGAAGGAATAGATCACACAACAATATATGCACATGGTTGAAATGGAATCTAACATGGAGCAAGCTAGGCCAATTTTAATTATGAACGGTGATCACAGTTCACAGCAACTTGGTTGGTGTAGATCGATCGGTTAACGCTACTATGCTCTTTTTCTGAAAGGAAATTAACGATCTAGTCAAGTTTCGTCACAGACCACGAACACAACAAGTGTATATATGACTGTTCCAGTAGGCCTCGAACAAAAGCAATCGTGCACGGGAGACATGGTGGACTGGTGACTACACATGCATGACAGACAAAAGTGCTCTGTTCGCCACCCTGCTTTTGGTCCAAAGCACACCACAGCTGTACGCCGGCCTGTACGATCGAAGCAGACGCAATCCACAACAGCTCATTGCACGCCCAACTCTAATTAAACATCTTACCTCTGTTTGTTCACCGACACGTTTTCCACCGCCGTAAAGCCCGAGAAAGTTTAGCACACGGGCGAATCTTGCTGGAATGAGGTTCAAAAAAGAATCTCGCTGGAATGACGCCAACTTGTTTTCCGAGAACGTGTTCGTTGACACGTGTTTCACCCTGACAAAAGAGACAAAAAATTCGTCCTTTGCATCAAATAATGATCGAGCAAGAAAGAATCCCGACAAGCACGGATAGAAAAAAAAAGTTCAAAACCGAAATTGAAGGAATATCGATAATTTCACTTTGTATGGAGCTCGCGCAACCCCCCGACGCCCCCTCATCCTCCGCCGTTGCCGTGCCACCCACCCCTCAACCTGGGCCCCTAGGCCCATATCCCACCAACCTAGCACCAGATCTGCGTACCCCGCGAACCGATCTATCTCGATCCATGCTGGAGTTGAAGTTGCCCCACCACACTTCGAGGAGCCCGAAGCAAGAAGCCTCATAGCGGACCCAACTTCAAATCGCTCATATCGAGATTCAAGGAGTGAAATCCTAGGTCTTCGTCTCCGCAGGCTCCAATCCTCGGAGAGCTAGCATGAGATCTCATGACCTTGTTTTAGGAGGAGTAATCGGGCACCTTGAAGACACCAAATGATATGACCATGCCATCACCAATTCAAGTTACACCAAACTCCAAACCGAACATCACCTACATCTACACCAGATCACGTTGTTGATAAACCGATTACATGTAGTCGAGCAAAGAAGCTAAGAGATGAACGCGCTACTTTATGAAGTTTATTTTAATATTAATGAGAATTATATACTACCTAAGTCGTGCACGTTGCTATTACTCAGGTTCACCAAGGAGAACGACAAGAACACAAAAAGAGATGACTAATAGAGAAGGACCACACTTGAATGGGTTCATGCAACCGCCTAGTCTCCACCACCTCTGCATGGCTTCATGCAACCACCATATGAAGGGGTGGCAGAGAGGCGCCATGTGGGGTGCGCCCGCCCCTAGTGTGCGGCCGCACCCTGATGTGGCAGAACCACACAAATTATATGGCCCACGTACACCTGTCATTGTCCTAAAGACCTCTGACTACTGCACACGAGAGCCAGATAACTCTAGTAGTCTGTCAGGTGTTCTCAGGGAACCTCGAATTATCCACATTTTACAACTCATACAGGATCAACATGGAGTTATCACAACATTACAACATTTGATATAAAAATAACTTACATCGGAGTGCGGAAGATTTATAATATTAAGTTTACAAAACATGTTCAAGTGAAAACTTAACTTACGTTCAAAAGGTGAGTAGAACTACGGAAGCAACTTAGGTGGAGCATCTAAAGCAGAAGAGGTGGCCAGACCATGTCGAACCCACCGACATGACCTCAATTAGTAGCTCAAGTCAGATCCTGCAACAGGGGTTAACAAACCCTGAGTACTTGAGGGTACTCAACAAGTCTTACCCGATTAAAAGAAAAGACTTCAAGGACATGCTAGATTAAAGGAAAGTTTGAAGCAAGAATTACTTTTGCAGAAAAGCTCACTACAAGTGGATCCTTACTTTTAATTTGTTAGCTGTGTATTAAGTCATTATCAGTATCCAATTAGCACCTATTCTAGCTCGAACACTTCATTAATCATCACATCTCTTCTTACCTCATTTGCACAAGTAACCATGTTCTATTGATTAACTACGATGAGCGGTCGGAGGGTCGAGTCTCCATAACAGAGGAGCACGACAATTCGAATCGATTTGGTCCAGCTGGGGTTTCCTTACCACACGACATATGCAGGTCCTAAACCTACATATATCAACCTTCACTCGGATCCTCCAAAACGTGAACCGGTCTACGCTACCCGAGAGCACAGTACTACACCTCCCTGCGTCATTCGTCCTTGATGGATTCACAGGATCTGTACACGCTACTCTCACCATCTCCACACTCCCGGTGCGCAGTTGTCTTTTCACATAATGGAATAGTCGAGATATTAGGCTTACCGGAGTATGTTGCCAGTACTGTAAGGTCTTGACCACAACAGACCTACAACGAACGGTCCTTAATTGACATAGACGGAGCACTACGTCAATACTCAAACTTGACGCAAGCAAAGAGTCCGCCCGGTCTCGATTTAACATTATCATTATCAGGGTATTCACATGAGCCTTCAGTAGAGCTGAGAAGAACATGGTAAAACATATTTCTCACGAACGATGAAACCACCATTCGACTTTTACCGAAGTCTAAGCATTACTAAGCATTAGAGATATCGACCTACATAACCTAGTGGGGTATGACTAGGAATACCTGAATATCAAGGTAATCATGCAGCAACAGTATTCGATCAACTCCTAACTACTTAATGCATATCTCACAAGACTTAAAAGTGTAATAAAGATTTGTAAATACTAGAGAAATGTTTATGCTCCAAGACTTGCCCGTGTTGCAGAGAAGGTTAGATTCCACAAAAGGATCCAAAAGTTAGGCTCGGCACCAACACCACTGGTGGATGAACCTCCTCCGAAACTTTGATCAACACGAATCTTCTCACTCTCGTGCACTATACGTAATAAATGATGTATGCTTAGCATGATGGAATGCATGTCTTGATGCATGATGAGAGGTACACAAATGCATAACAGAGGTTAAACAAAGTTAAGAAAGTTGAGTACAACTTTCCTTCACCATGAAAATAGGGTTATATTATAAAGGCATTTTTAGTTATTTAACTAACAAGTCTATTAGTTATCATGAAAGGAATCAAACTTAGCATGGATCAGCAAGAGACTAACATTTTTCTTAACCCATAACTATTTATAAAGAACTTATAAAACTAAATACTTAATTAAGCCCTTTCATTAATTATATAAACAAGTTGATTAAAAGCATATCAAGCAAAGAAATTAGGTTACCAAGGAACAAGAAGGGATTAGTGTTCCAAGGTCCACAATCAATTCTAAAATCACATCAAAATCATTTAATGATTTATAGAAATCATTTTGCTATTTGTTTAATTTATTACAAGGCATTTTAATATACCTAAACTAAGTGGACAATTTATAATCATCAAAACAGAACCAAATTTTTTGTAAAGTCATATCTAAGCATGAATAGCATACACAAAAAGTTTCATGATTAAAGGATAAATATTTTAGCCTACAAAAATCATGCAAGGTCTATTTATTAATTAAAAGAGGTAATTTTTAAGCATACCAAAACTACTGAAAATGACCAACTAATATTTTTCTATGGTAGCGCATATCATAACAAGGCTACACAAAAATTTCATAATTTTATCATGTCCCAAGAATTAGTTATGAATTAAACAGGAATCAGCATATAATAGCATTTTCTGATAAAGGTAAACATGAAAAGGAAAAACACATTTGCATCAGGGACCCTGTATTTTTAACTAATCAACCAAGCCTTGATCTGAAAAACCTTCTCTCTGGCTATTAAGCATCTGGAACCAAGAAAGAGTTTCTAATTCGTTTTCACCCTTGTCTTCTTTATCTCGACGCAGAACAGAGCAGAGGACGGGCTCGGCACGGCCGAAATCCGGCGAGGTGGCCACCTTCGGCGGAGGGTATGGGGCGCGCACAGCTTCCCTGCGACCAGGCGCACCGACGGTCTGCATGTTGCCGGCCATTGAGGCAGGCGGCCCGCAGCGATAGCGGCTCCGGTGACCTGGGACTGCAGGCGGCTGCGTGACCGGGTCGGTGGCACGGGGGAGGCAGCGTGGAGCAGGGAGGTTGAGGGTGACGCCGTCTAGGATGGAGGAGCCTCGGAGGACGAGCGAGGGCGGTGGCAACGGTTCTACCGCGGCGGCCAGGGCGGCGTGAACTGACGCCGA